TTAAAAAAGAACTAACATAAATAAAATACACTTCAGCTAAATACTTCTAATTTATTTTCCCAAACCACGCAGAGCCGCACTAAAAGGACTAAAGAGCCGCAGTTTGCTGACCTCTGGCCTAAAGAATGTAGCATCATGGGCAGTGTAGTCCGTGCTGCAGGGAGAATGGACTGCCATACACGTTATGTGTCTGTGAGCATGAGGAGGGAGAAAAAAGTGAGTGGAAAAGTACGAGTTGTCATCAAGCAAAAACGGGAGATGGAAGCATGTAAATATAATAATAACCACTGCAGCCAAGAAGAGTGCCTGATGAGCCCAGTTATAAGTAAGCTATTAAGACTCGACTGTACACTGTGTTCGTGTTTTCCTCCCAAACAATAAGTTCTGTTGGAGCAGTCTTTCAACACCTCTCTCTATCTCTCGCATCTCTTGTAAGCAAAGTTGACCCACACAACAAAGTAAAGCTATTTTTCGGCTACGAGCCGACACGGAATTAGACCTTTACTAAGGTCCCTTTACTACGGTTCGGAGCCGCGGACCTTCAGTAACAGTAATAAATCACACAGCAGTAGTACATTCATGTAGCTGTAAAAAGCATGATAACATATTAAGTAATCCAAAGTATTCAGAATACGTTACTCTCATTGGGTAACGTAATGGAATATGTTACAGAATACATGTTGGGGCATGTATTCTGTCATCTGTAGTGGAATACATTTTAAAAGTAACCTTCCCAACACTGGATAAACATATCTGTCTTAATTACTGGCATAGTAAGAATGAAGCACCTGCCAATACCTCACTAATACTTACTAGTGTGACATTATTATAAAGTGCTACCCAAGTATTGAACTTTTATTTGTTGTTCATAATCCATATGCCTTGTTGATGTGAGCGTACATTACCAGTCAAAAGGTTGGACACGCCGTCTCAATGTTTTTTCTTGTTTTCATGATCAAAACTATGAATTAACACGTATTGAATTATGCAGTAAGCAATAAAATGTGAAATTACTCAAAACATATTTTAGATTTTAGATTCTTCAAAGTATCCACCCTTTGCTTTGATTACTGCTTTGCAAACTCTTGGCATTCTCTCGATGAGCTTCAATGTGTAATCACCTGAAATGGTCTTCCAACAGTCTTGAAGGAGTTCTCACAGATGCTGAGCACTAGTTGGGCCTTTGCTTTCACTCTGCGCTCCATGTCATCCTAAACCATCTGGATTGGGTTTAGGTCAGGTGACTGTAGAGGCCGGGCCAGCTGGCGCAGCACTTTATAGTCCATTTCAAACAATCTGATGATAGACAAGGAGTACAAAAATAAGCATACCTTAGCAAGGTTGTCAAATCCACCTTTGTTCCTATTGTAATCCTACTGTAATCCCCATTAGTGATGTGTCGGTCGCGAACCAAATGGCTCTTAGAGCTGGATCTTTGAAGTGAACAAAGATCCAGCTCTCACCCTCTCTCTCCCGCACTTTTTTTTTCACTCAGCACGCAAGCCTCGTGCTTTGGATGAGGGGGGAGGGGCAGTAGTTACACTCGCAATAGCACAGGAACAGAGCAGGAGGGAGAGAGAGAGAAAGAGCCAGGGACAACAACGTCACATTGTAAAGGTATAGTAATCATCCTCAACTATTTTCAGTTGCGGATGATAAAGGATTCAGAAAGTTTATTCATGCAGGTCCATATGACAGAGAATGTGCATCTTCTTTTTGTTTTCATATTATAATTTATTTTTAATTGTGTTGTGGTTTGCAGTGTTTTGTGTTGTTTCACTTTAAATTTGTTTAAAAGGAAAAAGCTGAAAATTAATAGTAACAGGTAACAGGCATTTTTTAAAATTATTTGAATATATATGAGTGCTTGTGTATAAATACACAAACAATACACATATGCTTCAATTTTAAGTGATCTAGGTAGCTCTGTTTTGGAAGGTCAATTAACGCTAGAAATGTGTTTTGGAATTTGTACATGTTTTGTTTCTAGGGGCCACCGCATATATTTATATATAAACATATACAAATAAAACCACTTTTTTTACATTAGTAATTCCCTTTGTGCATAATTTTATATTGTTGTTAATAATTAATTAATTAAAACAACAAAACAACCTGAAGAGCCGGTTGGGAGCCGAAAGAGTCGGTTCTCTAAAAAGAGCCGGAAATCCCATCACCAGGCCCCATGATAGTTGCAGTTGTCATGGCCCTGGGTCATAGGACCCAGTACTCTTGAGTTTCGTGTTTTCTTGTTATATTCATCTGTATTCTAGTTTTTTCTTCAGTTAGCTGAATTAATTCGGTCATGCCTAGTTTAAAGAGTTAGTTCAGGGTTTATCAGGTTCTCCTTGTGCAATCACCCCTGTGTTTAACTTCCCCTGGTGGTTTGTGTGTCTTATCTGTCATGTTTTGGGTCTGCGTGATTTCCATTGTCAAGTTTGTGCCATGTCTACGTCTCCATGTGTCCTGTTTTATTTGGAAAGCGTCCAGTGTTGTTTTTGTTTGTCATATTTAGTTTCACTTCACCTATCTTGTTATTATATTCATTGTTGTCAGCTGTTTCCACTTCCCTTGATCGCTCCTTATGTGTATTTAGTCTGTGTTTCCGTTCAGTCAGTGCCAGGTCATCTGTTATCGTCACCATTGTTACGGTCCTAGTGTTTCATCGTTTACTTAGTGTTCATAGTTTTGTCATGGTGTTTTCACTGAGTGTCATAGTCGTTTAGTTTGCTCAGTGTTCCTCAGTCTGCTTTTGTTTTCTGAAGCCATGTTTTGTTACTGCTTCCAGCCAAATAAAGGCTTGTCTTTTGTCAACACCACCAATCTCTCTCTCTGCATCTGCTTTTGGGTCTAATAAACAAGCACACCGGCCGAGCTGTGCTGGACTGAATGGGCCTCACCGGCATCATCACTGGCAGTTAACTATTGAACTAATATGTCAGTCTGATCAAGTTAACAATATTTTATTTTGACTGGAACACAATACAACGATTAATTAAGGACATTTTATATAAGGTGTCATTTTATTCCATACAAGGTTGTTTGAGTGCATATTACTTCTTCTTTTCACAGGGTTGCACATATTTCAATGGTTATTTTTCTTAAACAAAAGAAAACGGAACCAACCAGAGAATAACACAAAAACACCCAACCAAACTGACCACTTCTCTAAATTAAAACATGACAGTGCACATAAATGAAAAACAATTTGCCATAAAGAATAACTCTTGTGTAGAAGATAAAACAAACTAGACATCGGATGTTTTACATTAAATAGCTAATCAGAACAACATACAACATTTACAAAGATATACGAGGCTGTATTGTTTCTGCAGAGTGAAACACATTTCCTTCATTAAAACATAACCAATCAATAACTAGACAACAAATGATACAATGTTAAAGTCGCACCAATAAAGTGTTACTGACAGGTTAAGCAACAGCACATCAGTGACCTCTGAGTAACAACAATGTTGACCAAAAATAGTGGTAACTAAAGAACTAAAAAAACCTGTGTTAACCAAGTGTCCTTCAATAATTTCCGTCTATTTCAGTTCAATGAACTCTGCAGTGTCATTGTCATAATAAAAGAACCGAAGTCCAGCATAGAGCGGCTGAGTGAATGTGGTCTGGACTCTGTGGAGGAGAGTCATGGTTTCAGAGACGCTGTAGAAAGACAGAATACCTGCTCTGTGATCCAGGTACACTCCTACTCTGTGATCCAGGTACACTCCTACTCTGGAGGACCGAGGACCTGAGAGGACAGTTTGGACATTGTTGTGCCAAAACTGAAAACCATTTGAATCATAACGTAAAGACCAAGATTTGTCGTTGAATCCAAATTTACATTCATTTGAGCTCCCTGCTCTGCTGATATTCTTGTATGCGACTGCAACACCAACTCCTCCTCCTCTCCTCTCCACCTCCCAGTAACAGCATCCAGTCAGACTCTCTCTACTCAGGACCTGAAGCCATCCAGTGAATCTGTCTGGATGATCAGAATAAGACTGTTTTTGTCTCATTATTGTTGCTTTTCTTTTGTCCTCAGATAATAACAGATGTGTGTTTGCTGTGTTTGGATCCAGTGAGATTTCATGTGAATATTTTAAGAATCCAGCTCTGGTCTTTGGCTCTGGTGGTGACAGTAAAACATCCACTTCAGCAACTCCCGGTGAGATATTCTTCTGTTCCTCTACTAACTCTGCTAACATAATGTTTTTCTCCAGGACAGGCTTTGGCATGAAGTTCGTCCTGCACTGAGGGCAGCTGTGGATTCCTGTCTTGTCCTCTTCATCAAAGTGACTTTTGATACAGTTCATGCAGTAGCTGTGTCCACAGGGAATAGTCACCGGATCCTTCAGTAGATCCAAACAGCTTAAACAAGAAATGTTTTCTTCATCCATTTTAATTTCCTTCTGCGCCATTTCTCTTCTTAGTAAGAAAGACTTGCAGCTTTGTCT